ATAGATGTAAAGTGCCTTTTATAATGACTGTTGTAAGCCTCTTGTTGAGTCACTTATGATACAAAAAATTATTGATGTGTGTATTTGTGTAGGTGATTAAATATGTATGTGTATGTATATGTATATATATATCAGCCTTTACACCACCGCTAAAGGATGGGTATGGGGTGCATAATAAAGAAAGAAATTGAAATTATTATACTGGTAAACATTGACGTGTACGTGCCTCTTAACTACTTCCTTTGCAACTAGGAATTATTCGATCCAAAAAAATGACATCAAAGCAGCTTATAGAGTGGGTACCAAATCATCTGGTACTAATAATAGGCGCATTCGTTTAAAATTAGATAGCTGCTCCCGCAAGACTGATCTTATCTCATCTGCAGTTGCTAGTAAATCCACTGTTTATGTGAATGAATGTCTGACCAGGTGCAGGCAAAATCTCTTTTTTAAACTGCGTGGCTTCTGCAAAAATTCCCCTACAATTAAACACTGTTTTGTGCGAGATGGTAAAATTATAGCTAGGAGGACTGACACTGGAAAAACCTATTCAATAACCACAGAAGCTCACCTTAATTCTTTCCTCAGTGACTGTGGGTTAGCTGCTGTATAGCCTGAATTCAGATTATAATCTCATATAACTACCTTTGTGTACTCTAGCTCTGCCTTTCCCTTCAAAAGGTTTTAACTTTAGTTTAAAAAAGAAAAAAAAAATAATAAAAAGAATAATATTGTCATCTTTATTATTGTCTTTTTTTTCTTTTTACTCCCATGTTCCATAGTACACTGGCTTTGCCTGTGTCCTCTAGTATTAACTTCATTATCCAATGTTCCTGAGTGTATCTCTATTTAAACTACCTCAGTTTGTTTTAGTGTAACTTTAGTATTCAATTATAGTGTACTTATAATAGTATAGTAAGCAAGCTTATTATCTTATAGATTTCATAATTGTTTTTTTTTTTTTTTACTTTTTTGGTCATCTATTGTTATTAATTATTCTAGTTAATTTTTTACATTCCTAGTTCCCATTAAGTTTTTTTTTTTTTTTTCTTTTTACTTAAAATTACCATTAAGTTTATTTTACTTTAGAATTTTTAATCTGCTTTTTTCTTTGTTTTCTATTTTGTAATTTGCCATTCTTACCTTGTTTTCCTGCAATCAGCCTTTTTATGCAGACAAGTATAGACCCAGAACTAAACCTCTTATCCACTATCTATGACAATCATCACTTCAATGATCAAAATTGCAGATATTTTACAGCAAATGATGTAAACAATGTATTATCAGATAATCTCAATATCTCTGTAATCAACTTGAACGTTAGATCCCTAGGTAAACACTTCGATGATGTTAGTGCCTTGATTGAAACTATTGACAACAAATTCTCTTTTATTATACTTACTGAAACGTGGTTGAAAGAGGATAATACTCAACTCTTTAACATGCCTAACTACTCGGCAATTCACAACTGTCGTCAAATGCAGAGAGGTGGTGGTACTGCTCTTTACTACCACCAAGAACTAACATGCTTAAAAATAATTAGAACTAGAGACTGCTGTGGGGAGTATATTTTTGCCAGTTTCAGAGTCAAGGGTGCCGAGTCTGTCCTGTCTGTGGGTGCAGTCTATAGAATTCCTAACACTGATGTGTCTGAATTCAACTCAAACCTTAGAAATCTAATACTAGATAACAGATTGAACAAAAACCATCTAATTATCGCAGGGGACTTTAATATTGACCTCTGCGAGCCTGAACACCCTACTGCTGTTAGCTTCCTCAACTGTATGAATTCCTGCTTCCTCATACCCTTAATCACTAGACCAACTAGAATCACTGATAGTACTGCTACGACTCTAGATCACATCTGGACCAACATAACCTCTCCGCTTACTTCAGGTATAATCACCGATAGCACTACAGACCATTACCCCACATTTCTCTTAACTAACATTAGCAAACCACCTCTAGAGACAAGGGAGTTAAGCTTTAGGCTGCACAATGAAACTGCTATAAACAATTTTATAACTGCTGCTGATAATGTCAACTGGGAGTCCGAGTTAGGTAACATAGGGGACATCAACCTAGCAGTGAAATCTTTTCTACAAACAACTCTTAGTCTTTATAACACCCACTGTCCTATGCTTACAAAACAAGTCACAAGCAAAAGACTTAACAATCCTTGGCTTACAAAGGGAATACTTAAATCCATTAACAAAAAACACGACCTTGAGAAGAAGTATAGGCTAGGAACAGTCTCCAAAGATTTCTCAAAGAATTACTCGTTATTGCTATCTAAAATAATTAGACGAGCCAAAACTAAATACTATGAAGATAAATTTACCCAAATAAAGAGCAACATTAAAAAAACTTGGAGCACAATTTCACAAATATTGGGATCAAAGAAGATTTTAAATAACAAACCAACACTCCTTTCCAATAACGTTGGTCAGCTTTCAGCCTCTGATTCTGCTATTGAGTTCAATAGGTTCTTCTCTTCCATTGGGTCATCCCTTGCAAATGATATTCCATCTTCCTGTACTGATGTTAAGGACTATCTTACAGGTAACTATCCACAGTCTCTGTACCTAAAGCCTACTAGTTCCACTGATGTCAATGAAATAATCCTTTCCCTTAAAACCAAGTCTAGTGCCCTCGAGGAGATACCAACTTTAATTTACAAAAAAGCCTCCAGATCTCTAGCCCCTGCTATTGCATTGCTCTTCAACAAGTCACTTGAACTCCAAACCTTTCCTGACATTCTAAAAAAAGCAAGAGTAACCCCTGTCTACAAATGTGGTGATCTCACTGATGTTAACAACTATAGACCTATATCAATCCTGCCTAACTTGTCAAAAATATTCGAAAAGCTAATCTACAAGCAGCTTTACTCTTTTCTAGCCAAACACAATATACTTAGCTCTTGTCAATATGGCTTCAGACCCAAAAAAAGCACTAACGATGCACTTATTAGTATGATTAACGTAATTCACGCAGCTCTTGATAAAAAGGAGTTTCCTGTTGGGTTATTTGTGGACCTGCGTAAGGCTTTTGACACTGTCAACCATCAAAACCTTCTTCTTAAATTACATCATTATGGAGTCAGAGGACACTCCCTGCAATACCTCAAATCTTATCTTACTGACAGGCTCCAGTATGTTTCTGTGAATAATACAATTTCTCCCACCCTACCCATCAACATTGGTGTTCCTCAGGGCAGCATACTTGGCCCTCTCCTCTTTCTCATCTACATTAATGACCTTCCAAATGCCTCCCAACACCTCAAACCAATTCTATTTGCTGACGACACAACCTTCATTTACTCCAGTCCTGACCCCCTTGCTCTAAATGCCACAGTAAATACTGAGCTAGAGAAAGTCCATCTTTGGCTAACTGCCAACAAACTCACCCTTAACATTGACAAAACGTTTTATATTCTGTTTGGCAATAAATCCTCTAATCAGATAAATCTCAAAATAAACAATACCCAAATTTGTAACAAATTAGATGGCAAATTCCTTGGCGTTCTCATCGACCACAAGCTGAATTTCCAGGGTCACATTCTAAATATATCAAAAAAAGTTTCAAAAACTGTTGGCATTCTTTCTAAGATCAGATATTATGTACCCCGCCCTGCTCTGGTTACTCTCTATTACTCCCTCATCTATCCATACCTCAACTATGGTATTTGTGCTTGGGGTTCTACTACCCAAAATCATTTACGTCCTCTCATTACCCAACACAAAGCTGCTATTAGGACAATAACCAACTCTGGCCCCAGACATCACTCGGTACCCTTACTCAAATCTCTGAATATGTTAGATATTAAGTCACTGCACATTCTCTCTTGTGTATTATACATATATAAAACGCTGAACTGTAATGCCAATCCTGACCTCAAAAGCTTCATTGAAGGTTGTAACAGAACCCATGAGCACCACACCAGGAATAAATACAGTTTTGATATTCCTAGAGTACGACTTAATCAAACTAGAAATGCTCTACAAATCAAGGGACCCAGAATGTGGAATGACCTTCCCAACCATGTTAAAGACTGTACCTCTCTCAACCAGTTTAAGATAAAAACTAAACAATACCTAATAAATTCCCTGTAACCCACCTCACTCCTTTATTGTCAACCCATGTCTGTTATTTTATTTTATTATTATTATATTTTTTTTTAATCAACACTGTTTGTCAACCTATTGTATTTGTGCTGCTTTTTCAGTCATGTTCCCCCTTTTTTTATCTTTATTTGTATTTGTTTTCAACACTTTTTATTCTTTATGCTCAATTAGTATTAAGTTCTAGATATTAATGTTTTTCTTGCCCGAAACGCATTGCGTAATAGTGGCTTTAGGCATTGTATGTACTAGCTCTATCTATATATCAATCCATTAATGTAACATCACTTGTATGTATGTACCTTACCTGAATAAACATATTTATTTATTTATTTATTTATTTATCATGGTACCTTATTAAAAGCTCAGCGCAGTCCATATGCCCGAAACGCTATGCGTGTTAGTGGTTTTGCATGCATGTAAAAATACCAATCTTATGTAATCTCACCAACACATTGCACATTATTGCAAATGAATTATTATATACAGCATATAGCATGTACTACAGCTGCTGGAAGTACATTAAAATATTTCGATTAAATGCCAATATTGGGCTATACAAAAAAGATAAAATGTGTTCCTGCAATGTTTAAGACGCCTAGTGCTATATTACATATTATAATGTTAAAAGAACAAGTACATCATCACCGCATCCAACTTATCATTTCAAAACACAAACATGTGGATCAATAAACCAGACCTTAAAATGATTCCAATTAAGTTGGGTCCACTTGTTCTTATGTGGGACTGAACTTTAAGGGAGAATACATTGGGCCTTGTGAGTGTGGTGGAGGAAACATGAAGAGACATGACCAGCGGTGAGGAGACAGCCACTCACAAGGTCGCAATGAAGAACCGGCAGACAAGTTTTCCAAGGAGACTTGGCGCCACCTACCTCGATCCCCGCTAGTTCCCCTCCCTGCTAGTTCCCCTCGCAATACATCGTATAACTTGCCCAACTAAACTCAATTTAGCCAAACATATGCTCAACAAATTAATTTAAGGAGAGATTGAGGTTGAGAAGGAGAGTGGAGAGGTTGTAAAGTAGCGTTGTGAGAAGTTGGAGTGGAGGGGCCAGCCGGGGCGGTAACTAGTGTAGACGGTGGCGGAGCTGGCGAGGTGGTTCATGACAGCCGCGCTGCCTCCTTACCTCAGCTACCATGGCTGAAATGGACGAACAGGAGCGCAAAATTGTAAACGAATTTTGTCACCTGCTGGAGAAGTCAAAACAGCTCTTTAATGGACTTCGGTAAGTGGGAAGTGGCAGCTAGCGATGGTTGAGAGGAATTCGTCTGCAGTGTTTACATTGTGTGACAGCGCGGGAAAGCAGACGACGTTCCTAGGGGTGATTAGTAATGGATGAGGGAGGGGTTATGGTTGTGAATGGTGGGCGGGCTTCCTGGTGGCCAGGGTGTGTTGTGAGCCGAGTGTCTGGTGGCCAGGGTGTGCTGTGAGTCGAGTGTCTGGTGGCCAGGGTGTGCTGTGAGTCGAGTGTCTGGTGACCAGGGTGTGCTGTGAGCCGAGTGTCTGGTGACCAGGGTGTGCTGTGAGTCGAGTGTCTGGTGGCCAGGGTGTGCTGTGAGCCGAGTGTCTGGTGGCCAGGGTGTGCTGTGAGCCGAGTGTCTGGTGGCCAGGGTGTGCTGTGAGTCGAGTGTCTGGTGGCCAGGGTGTGCTGTGAGTCGAGTGTCTGGTGACCAGGGTGTGCTGTGGGCCGAGTGTCTGGTGGCCAGGGTGTGCTGTGAGCCGAGTGTCTGGTGACCAGGGTGTGCTGTGAGTCGAGTGTCTGGTGACCAGGGTGTGCTGTGGGCCGAGTGTCTGGTGGCCAGGGTGTGCTGTGAGTCGAGTGTCTGGTGGCCAGGGTGTGCTGTGAGCCGAGTGTCTGGTGGCCAGGGTGTGCTGTGAGCCGAGTGTCTGGTGGCCAGGGTGTGCATTGGGCCGAGTGTCTGGTGGCCAGGGTGTGCATTGGGCCGAGTGTCTGGTGGCCAGGGTGTGCTGTGAGTCGAGTGTCTGGTGACCAGGGTGTGCTGTGGGCCGAGTGTCTGGTGGCCAGGGTGTGCTGTGAGCCGAGTGTCTGGTGGCCAGGGTGTGCTGTGAGCCGAGTGTCTGGTGACCAGGGTGTGCTGTGAGTCGAGTGTCTGGTGGCCAGGGTGTGCTGTGAGTCGAGTGTCTGGTGGCCAGGGTGTGCTGTGAGCCGAGTGTCTGGTGGCCAGGGTGTGCTGTGAGCCGAGTGTCTGGTGGCCAGGGTGTGCTGTGAGCCGAGTGTCTGGTGGCCAGGGTGTGCTGTGAGCCGAGTGTCTGGTGGCCAGGGTGTGCAGTGGGCCGAGTGTCTGGTGGCCAGGGTGTGCAGTGGGCCGAGAGTCTGGTGGCCAGAATGTGCAGTGGGCCGAGTGTCTGGTGGCCAGGGTGTGCAGTTTGCCGAGTGTCTGGTGGCCAGGGTGTGCAGTGGGCCGAGTGTCTGGTGGCCAGGGTGTGCAGTGGGCCGAGTGTCTGGTGGCCAGGGTGTGCAGTGGGCCGAGTGTCTGGTGGCCAGGGTGTGCAGTGGGCCGAGTGTCTAGTGGCCAGGGTGTGCATTGGGTTGAGTGTCTGGTGGCCAGGGTGTGCAGTGGGCCGAGTGTCTGGTGGCCAGGGTGTGCTGTGAGCCGAGTGTCTGGTGGCCAGGGTGTGCAGTGGGCCGAGTGTCTGGTGGCCAGAGTTTGCAGTGAGCCGAGTGTCTGGTGGCCAGGGTGTGCAGTTTGCCGAGTGTCTGGTGGCCAGGGTGTGCAGTGGGCCGAGTGTCTGGTGGCCAGGGTGTGCAGTGGGCCGAGTGTCTGGTGGCCCAGGGTGTGCAGTGGGCCGAGTGTCTGGTGGCCAGGGTGTGCATTTGGTTGAGTGTCTGGTGGCCCAGGGTGTGCAGTGGGCCGAGTGTCTGGTGGCCAGGGTGTGCATTGGGTTGAGTGTTTGGTGGCCCAGGGTGTGCTGTGAGCCGAGTGTCTGGTGGCCAGGGTGTGCTGTGAGCCGAGTGTCTGGTGGCCCAGGGTGTGCACTGGGCCGAGTGTCTGGTGGCCCAGGGTGTGCACTGGGCCGAGTGTCTGGTGGCCAGGGTGTGCTGTGGGCCGAGTGTCTGTTGGCCCAGGGTGTGCAGTGGGCCGAGTGTCTGGTGGCCCAGGGTGTGCAGTGGGCCGAGTGTCTGGTGGCCCAGGGTGTGCAGTGGGCCGAGTGTCTGGTGGCCCAGGGTGGGCCGAGTGTCTGGTGGCCCAGGGTGGGCCGAGTGTCTGGTGGCCCAGGGTGGGCCGAGTGTCTGGTGGCCCAGGGTGGGCCGAGTGTCTGGTGGCCCAGGGTGGGCCGAGTGTCTGGTGGCCCAGGGTGGGCCGAGTGTCTGGTGGCCCAGGGTGGGCCGAGTGTCTGGTGGCCCAGGGTGGGCCGAGTGTCTGGTGGCCCAGGGTGGGCCGAGTGTCTGGTGGCCCAGGGTGGGCCGAGTGTCTGGTGGCCCAGGGTGTGCAGTGGGCCGAGTGTCTGGTGGCCCAGGGTGTGCAGTGGGCTGAGCGGTCCATCGAATTACCCAAATCTATTCAAAACTACCCAAAGCTTCCTAGTATTATGTAAGTAATAAAGAAATAGGATATACAGTATTACTCATTATAACGTTGGTTCTGAAGATAGAACATGAAAAAACTCCTTTTTACTCTGAAATAATATATGTTTATAACGAAATTAGATAAAACTAAGTTGCATGAGAGGCCATAGGAAGTCGACGCTCCAAACGACAATGTTGTGGAGCGACTTATCCAAGATATATTGTTGCCTTCAGGTTATATTAAGTTAGGTTTAGTTAGGTTAGCTTTAGTTAGTTAGGTTAGCTTTAGTTAGTTAGGTTAAGTTTTGTTAGGTTAGGTTTGGGTAGGTTAGGTTAGGTAGTACAAAAGGCTGATATGCCAGCAAACACACTCCAAGCAACATTGTGTCCTGGATAAGTTGCTCCACAACGTTGTCGCTTGGACCGTTGACTTGCTTTGGCGTCACCAGCAGCTTATTTTTGTCCAATTTCGTTATGAAATTATACTTTTTCAGAGTATAAATATATATTTCATGTTCTACATTCAGCACCAACATTATAATGAATAAATATATATATTTATTCATTACTCATTATTATTCATTTATTCATTATATAAATATATATATTTATTCATTACTGGTGTGGTGATCACCCTGATTACATTCAGGTAATCACCCTGATTACATTCCAGGGACACATTCTAAATATATCAAAAAAAGTTTAAAAAACTGTTGGCATTCTTTCTAAGATCAGATATTATGTACCTTGCCCTGCCCTGGTGACACTTTATTACTCTCTCATCTATCCTTATCTCAACTATGGTATTTGTGCTTGGGGTTTTACTACCCAAAATCTTTTACGTTCTCTAATTACCCAACACAAAGCTGCTATTAGGACAATATCTAACTCTGGCCCCAGACATCACTCGGTACCCTTACTCAAATCTCTGAATATGTTAGATATTAAGTCACTGCACATCCTCTCATGTGTATTTTATATATATAAAATGCTGAACTGTAATGTCAGTCCTGACCTTAAAAGCTTCCTAGAAGGTTGTAACAGATCCCATGAGCACCACACCAGAAACAAATATCTATTTGATATTCCAAGAGTACGACTTAGTCAAACTAGAAATGCTTTACAAATCAAGGGACCTCGAATGTGGAATGACCTTCCCAATTATGTTAAAAACTATCTCTCCCAACCAGTTTAAGATAAAAACTAAGTACTACCTAATTAACTCAATGTAACCTACCTCACCCCTAAATGTCAACCCATGTCTACGATTTTAAACAATGCTGTTTGTTGACCAAATTGTAATTTTGTTTTTTTTTCTGCCATGTTCCCCCCCCCCCCCTTTTTTCATTTTTGTCTGATTTTTTCTCAACACAATTTATACTTTATTCTCAATTAGTATTAAGTTTTAGTTTTAGTGCTTTCCTGCCCGAAACGATTTGCGTAATAGTGGCTTTAGGCATTGTATGTACTAGCTCTATCTATAACTCCATCAACTTTTGTATTTCACCTTGTATGTATGTACTTTACCTGAATAAATATTTGTATTTGTACTAACATAATGTTAAGAAGCTTTGGATAGCTTTTTAGGAAGTGTTGAGTAGCTTTGGGTAATTAGACAGACCCAGGTTGAGTGTCTGGTGGCCAGGGTGTACAGTGGGTTGAGTGTCTGGTGGCCAGGGTGTACAGTGGGTTGAGTGTCTGGTGGCCAGGGTGTACAGTGGGTTGAGTGTCTGGTGGCCAGGGTGTACAGTGGGTTGAGTGTCTGGTGGCCAGGGTGTACAGTGGGTTGAGTGTCTGGTGGCCAGGGTGTACAGTGGGTTGAGTGTCTGGTGGCCAGGGTGTACAGTGGGTTGAGTGTCTGGTGGCCAGGGTGTACAGTGGGTTGAGTGTCTGGTGGCCAGGGTGTACAGTGGGTCGAGTGTCTGGTGGCCAGGGTGTACAGTGAGTCGAGTGTCTGGTGGCCAGGGTGTACAGTGGGTCGAGTGTCTGGTGGCCAGGGTGTACAGTGGGTCGAGTGTCTGGTGGCCAGGGTGTACAGTGGGTCGAGTGTCTGGTGGCCAGGGTGTACAGTGGGTCGAGTGTCTGGTGGCCAGGGTGTACAGTGGGTCGAGTGTCTGGTGGCCAGGGTGTACAGTGGGTTGAGTGTCTGGTGGCCAGGGTGTACAGTGGGTTGAGTGTCTGGTGGCCAGGTAGTCCGTCTAAGTACCCAAAGCTACCCAAATTAACTCAAAGCTTCCTAGCATTATGTAAATAATGAAGAAATATAATATGTTTACTCACTATATTGTTGGTGTTGAATGTAGAACATAAAAAAACATATTTTTACTCTAAAATAATATAAATTTATAACGAAATTAGATGAAACTAAGTGGCATGAGAGGCCCTAGGAAGTCGACGATCCAAACAACAGTGTTGTGGAGCGACTTATCCAAGATGAACAAATCATTCAAGATATATTATTGCCTAGAGGTTATATTAAGTTATGTTTGGATAGGTTAGGTTTGGTAGGTTAGGTTATGTTTGGATAGGTTGGTTAGGTTAGGTAGGTACAGGAGGCTCATATGCCAGCAAACGTTGTCGCTTGGACCGTCGACTTGATTTGGCGTCACCAGCTTCTTATTTTCCTCTAATTTCATTATGAAATGATACTTTTTCGGAGTAAAAATGTGTTTCATGTTCTTCATTGAGCACCAACA